CCCGCCCGCCCTCCCGTCGGGGAACCTTTGTAAGTTTTTGGATGTTTTTGTGTGGGTTATTAGAAATAAAGGGGGGGGGCGGGGGAGAGATTTTATTGTTGTTAGCCATCTATGGCATTTTTTAAAAAATGACACTCAGAATACACATACATAAAAGTAAGTAAATAATGAAAGATAGGCCAACTTTATTCTATCCCCTGAGAACTGGTTCCCCCTTTCTTTCCTTGCTGGAAATGGTAATGAGACTAACATCCTCATACTGTTCCCAAATGTCATCTCCCACTGTGTCCTGCTTAGACTGCCTTCGATAGGAAGCTAGAAGCAGCAAAGCAAATGGGATAACGTGTTCACCCCAAATGGCAAAGAAAAACCCCAACATCCCAATCTGATTGAAATCAGGTGAGATCTCATTTTCTTTGTGGCAATGTTGGGGCAATGAAGCCATTTCTTTTCTGTTTTCACTGCATCCAAGTGGTTCAGGATTTTTTTTACAATACTTCTCTTGGTACTTCTACCTTCCAAAGTTAGGCTGGGGGCAAATAAGGAGAAGGCCTTTATGTTGGTGACATCCTGCCTATGGAATCTTTTCAGGCATAAGGAAGGTATCTCATTTGATATAAAATATTTCAACTAAGTTGTTGACCTTTTAGCTTACTCAAGCAGTCAAAAGACAGTTTATGTTGTTTATTCCATCCATGTTGTTGATGGAACTGTTTTCAGTTTTTACAGCTGCTCTGCTCTTTTCCAATTATTTTCGTGTTAAAGTTTAACTATTATTTTAAGGTGCATAAATTACATGCTACCCTGAAGTTCTTGAAAGTAAAAGAAATTGCACATGCCATTAGTTACTACAATTAAACAAATACATCCCATTTCCCCGCAAAACATACATCCAGCTATATGAATCTGCTGAACATAATTCCTTGCTTCTTGCAGATTCTCAGGAGTGGCTTTGATTAAGGTGTTTTTCCATTTGTGTACATCACTTCCAAACAATACAAAATTCAAGTGGTCCTCTTCTTTTATATCTTCTAATATTTTTAGCAGTGCTTCTTTTGTCTAAAATTAAACATAGGAACAAAGTTTAAAGCAAGAGCATTGATAAAGATGTAGAGGCTTAAATCGGATATGTCCAGCAATTATCTTTATGCACACAGGAGCTCAGTTTGGCTAAGTACATAAGCACAATCAACTATGGAAAAGCTGTAATAAACCAGGATATACTTTATAGTTGGATTCATAACAGGGATAGGCAGTTTGGCTCCATAGAGATATTCTGGATTACCAGTCCCACAGTTTCTTGTTATTGTCCATACTGGTGGGGGCTGATGGGATTTAGTCCCAAGCCTCTTCAGGATCCTGGATTGCCCCTAAACCTCCCCCTTTGGCTGCCCTTGATGCCTTTTCTGGAGGAGCCACTCAGAGCCTCTCTGGAAGCCCTTTCCAGTAGACTTCATGTTTTGCATGATACTACATCCCAAACTGCATCCCTTTAATTCTGCTCCAGGCCGAGGGTTTGTGAAAATTCTGGCCATTGGAATATTAACCTCTTGATATCCTTATGAATAAAACTTTTTAAAAGCCAGTAAGGGATTCCTAACCTTCAGAAGAAGAGAGGTGTGTCAATAAAAGTTTCACTGCACAAGGGTGGAGAGAGACCCTTTAGTTTTGTGTCCTAAGGGCAAGATCATTCTTCTGGAAGACCCACCATAGCTCTTCCACAAAATCAATATTTTCATGTCCAAGAAACCAAAACATTAGAAGAAACAAGGTGCACCAGTGAGCTCTCCAGTCCCTCTGGCACCGACAGCAAGAATGGCCAAGGAGGTACAGATCCCAATAACCAGACAGGAAGAGGCAGGCCTGCAGCAGGCCAGAAGATCTACATCCTTCAAAGTCTCTTCCTCCATACCATCTAGAACCTCCATATGGGAGGTCTTCTGTTGGCATAAGATGGAAATATGAGTTCCATGTTAGAATGCAGCCTGACTTTAGTAGCAGTCTGGCTAGGAAATGGTGGGGGGTAGGGCTCTCTGTGAGTGCAAAAAGCCAGATTAGTGTAGTGGTTAAGGTATCAGGCTAGAAACCAGGAGACTGTGAGTCCTAGTCCTGCCTTAGGCACAAAAGCAACTGGGTGACCTTGGGCCAGTCACTCTCTCTCAGCCCTAGGAAGAACGCAAGGACAAACCACTCCTGAAATCTTGTCAAGAAAATTTCAGGGACTTGTCTGGATTACTGCAACATGCTCTACATGGGGCTGCCCTTGAAGAGCATTCGGAGGCTTTAACTGTTACAGAATGCGGTTGCACAGGTAGTAAATGGTGTCAGGTATGCGACACGTGTAACACCACTATTGTGTCAGCTGCATTCATTGCTGGCATGTTTCCAGGTGCAATTCAAAGTGCCAGTTGTCACCTTTAAAGCCCTTCATGGCTTGGGGCTGGGTTACCTAAGGGACTGTCTTCTCCCAATAGTTTCTACCCATCCAATTTGGTCTGGCAGGTTGGGCATGTTGCGGGTCCCGTCAGCCGAGTAATGTTGGCTGGGGTGGACAGGAGACATGCCTTCTCTGCTATAGCCACTGCCCTCTAGAACATTTTCCTTCTGTGATGGATTATATCTACAGGGAGGAGAGTGACGTGGGAGATCAAGGCTATCGGGAAGGAGGGGGTGCCTCCCAGGAGAGAGGAGGAGGCAAGAGGCAGCTGAGTCCGCAACAGGAGCGTGGGAAGCAAAAGAGGTTCAGGATAGCCACTCCCTGGAATCTCACAGGGTATATCCACTGGTTGCTGTAGTGTAGATTTAGTTTGGCAAGTTTCTGTCTATAAGGTGTAAACTAATAAAGGAACTGGACTGGACTGGACTGGACTGGACTGGACTGTTTCATTGTTATTCTTGGGCTGGGCTTGACCCCTTCAGAGATTAAGATGACCCCAACTCTGCTGGCTTTTCATAAGGTCATGAAGACCTGATTATGTGCCTGGGCCTGGGGCCCCGAGTGTGTTAAGGGCCCTATTTCTTGGCCATATTAACATCTATGGAAATAGTTTTACTTGGTGACCATATATATTTATTTGTATTGTTTTAATTATTTTATGGTTTTACAACTGTATGCTGCTCAGTCCCTTGTTGAGATGGGCAGCTATAGCAAACAAACAAACAAATAAATTTGCCAGGAGTCGATGCTGATTCAAAGGCACAAAAAATAAAATGAAATTGTGAGCGCACGTTCTCAGCAAACACTACCAGGATATGTAGATGAGCCTTAAGAAGGATAGTTCAGCTACAACCTGTGTGCATGTCTGCTTGTATGTGTGCAATTTTTTCCTTAAAAAATTGCCTTACATTTCTTTACATTTTAATGCACTTATTTTACTTTTGTGTAGGGGTGTGTGTGTGTGCCTTTGAGTCAATGTTGACTCCTGGCAACTACCTGGACAGTTCCTACAGTTTTCTTAGCGAGGTTTTTCGGAAGTGGTTTGCCCTGGCCCACTTCCTAGGGCTGAGAGAGAGTGACTGTTGGTTTTGTGCCTAAGACAGGACTAGGACTCACAGTCTCTTGGTTTAACAACTGCAACAGAAAAGCATGGCCTTTCATCACAAAAATATTGCCATTCTGAAGTTATAAAATGTGATGGACAATTATGGATTAAAACCACATCTTTTGTAGTCTTGGTTTAAAATCATTCAAAACCCATGGCTCTTTCAGATGGCAAAATTAATTTCTAAGAAATTAACTACATACTGCTTTGTGTTTTGTAATCTTTTGCAGAACAGAAAATAAGTATTTAACGTTTTTTAAATGTCACGATTTTTTAAATGGTGTTTGTATGTACTAGTTTCTTATAAAAACCATACTTTTTTCAAGGAACAGAATTTTCAGGAAAGAAATAGATACTGCCAACTAAACAGGGAATAAAAGATAAAAGATTTTTATTCTGGAATAAACTGTGTTCAAAGTTTGTGTGTGTGTGTGTGTGTGTGTGTGTGTACACATACTGTATGTAGGCAAAATCTCATCAAGGAGCTGTTGATAGGAGAGAAAACAAGGGAAAATTTATCTTGCTATTTCTTCTGAACATCCATCAGCAAACTTGTGGCTGCTTTTTATTAAATGGATTTCTTTGTATAGCCTACACTGGTGAGCTGTGTGTGAAATTCTGATTTCTACCTGCAGTTCCCCATCAGCTGAAACTTACTCTCACACACACTCCCTCTATCTCTGGAACTCAGGTAGTGAATACAGTACGCAGAAGCAAGGAATGGTAAATAGAAGGAGTAGCAGATGCAATTTTCCCTTCAATCATGAAGACGGAGGATGAACAATGTCTGGGAGGGAGTGGGGTAAAAAATGTCAAGATGATGGCAGCAACTGTGTGATTGAAACCCTGCCCCTTTTTTATATGTTGTGTTGCACGTGAACGCACATTAAAAAGGGGCAGGTTATTAAGCCATATGGTCATGGCCATCATAGCCTGGAGTCAAGAGTGCTGGCAAAGAAAAGCAGTGAGGCGAGCTGAGAGAAACTTTCTGCTAATGTATGTATTAGTTGTCCTTGAAGTGGACTTCAAAATATTGGGTTACCTGTTCTAGTTTTCGTCCGCTCATGGAGATGCTGACATCTATGATAAAAACAATGTTCTTAGGCAAGCGTAAAATATTTTTGGGTGCAAAAAAGTGTACAAAGTATCCATTGACAATCTGAAAAATAAGAAGGTAAAAGATATATGAAGTGAAATTTCCATAAGATACACTAGCACATCAATTTAACTAAGTTCTGTTTACCTGTATATCACCTGGAGCTTCTCTGTTCACATCATACTTTATGATAAAATCTCCATTCAGTAGGGTTGTTAGACAGTTTACACAGGTCCGTTGTTGATCAAGTGTTGGTTTGAAAGACACACGGCCCTGAAAGCACAACATACACCCCTTTAAATACACAGACACAAATTTAACAAATAGACCTATGTACATCCAATCTGTGTTCAGTGGGAATCTATGAATAGGAATACCTGCTTCACAGAGAAGTCAACGTCTTGCATATGAAACAATCTAAACTTTCAAAGCATACAGCAAAACTCTATACTACTCCCTCAAATGACTGCCTAGTCCAGAGGGTCTGAAACCTTCTTGCTTCAAGGTTCCCTTAGTGTCTCAGCAATTCTTTCGTGGCCCCTTAGCGGTTCCCAAACTGCACCACGGCGCTACCAAAGTAACAGTCAGATAAAAGGGGCCTGAATCTGGGGCAAGAATGTAATGTGAGTAAACATTTCAGACAAGCCCCTCCTTAGTTCACACTGGGATAAAGGGTTGGAGGGGGGAAGCACGTTCAGACTTGCAAGATTCTGTTACTAAAGCTTTATAATAAAAGTAGCCCTCACCTACATGGCTTTCGTCTCCTTGTCAGCTCTACTCTGAAGGGCTGAGAATTTATTAAGTAGTAAAATAATCCCACAGCATCCCTGAGAGTTCACTGAGGTGCCCACAGGCACTGTGGCACACAATTTGGGAACTGTGGGCCTAGTCTAAACTTCCAAATTAATTATTGATTTCTCATGTCCAATTAATATATTATTCCCTTAATATATTCCCTTCATTCCCTTAAATGTGGTCACCTAGGGGGACCTAGGAAACACACCTTTGCTATAGCAGCCCCTGCCCTGGGAACAGCCTTCCCCATAAGATCTGGCAGACCCCCCCCCTTTTTTTTAAAGCTTTCCAGAAGCCCTAAAGCCATTGGTCAGGATGCTGGGATTTGTTTTGGGCTATTTTGGCAGTTAGTTTTATTGTTTCCTTTGATTTTATTATGGTTTTGTGAGCCACCCAGAGTTGTCACATACTGTATAAGAAGAACAGCCATACGAGTCTTCCAAATAAAGAAAATAAATCAATATTGATGCTTCATGTATTATTATAAAAAATAAAAAATATAAAACTCATTTTGGCCTAAGATTACTATCCAGTGTACCTTTTTTCCTGACAAAGACTTCTGTATGACTGGTAACAAGTCATTGGTGATGAATGAGCCTTCAGCTTCCAGGTAACTGATGCCCTGGGGTTCAAAGATGTTGACCTCAATCTGAAATGTTAATTTGAATCATGCTGTCACTGACAAATTCAATGACAAATTCAGGAACAGGCCCACTAAGAGAACCCCATGCAAATGCTAGTTTCTAAACGTTCCTTTGAATCCTGAGTAAGAACAGTCACTATACTATTGATCATCTTAAGTAGAATAAATACATAGTAATGAAAATTACAAAATGTATACTATCACTCATTTAAGTCCATTCTGAAAATCTTAACACCATCAACGTATAGTTTCAGAGGTACATTACCTCAAAGTTCTTGACAAGTTGCTTTGGGTTGACTTTTATGAACATCTCATAATAGCCAAATCTTCGCTTCAACAGCTCCTCAAAGATCAACTCAAAAACCACTTCGCTGGCTGCTGCAATATTGACTGAAACAGTGAATTTTTCTGTCTTCCTCCCAGAAGCCCTATAAAGGTCCAGTTTTTCAATTAAGCATATACGTATTAAAATAAAATGCATTTTAGGGGTTTTTTTCTATTTAAAGGCATAACTTTTGAAAGTTACACTTATCCGTGAAATTAAAACAAACAAAAAAATCAAGTTGTCAGAGAGCTCCGGCATACACTACCAAAATGGTATTTTGGACACTGGTATATAATGCAGTTCTTGAGCATGTGTGCTCCACAGAATGCAAAGCCTG